AGTGTTGGTGGGAATCAGATAATACCAGGCGGGATGCGCATCAAGGGCATTGTAATAAATAAAATACATTCCAGCAGGGTCTTTCAGGTCTTTCATCTCTCAAAGGGAGAAAAGTTGCACAAACTTTGCCAAGCCTTTTCAGATCAGACATTAACGGTCAGTCTCATGTGCTTTGGGGCAGACACTGTGTAATATCTATAAGTTTTGGCCCAGCAGCCTCAGCTAAAATATTCCCTGATGCCGAAGAGGTGGCCACATTTCAATATTACAATGTGTGTACTGTTTGTGAAGGGCTCTGGCACTGTCTAAATGTCAAATATTATATGTCCTATGCAGTGCTGTTTAAGAATTGCAAAATCACTGCAGCCCATCTTTCTAGTCACTGGAATGAACTCTTGTTCCTTAAGTATATGGGTTCTTATCTATAATTAGCAATTTACAGGGTAACTGCTAAGCATTTTGTCACGCAAAGCTCTGCGTAATTGCATACTTTCCGTGCTTTCAGAGCACACAGTTCACGCTGCTGTTTTTAACTCCCTCTATTGAAGGCCTGCTATTTTGTGAAAAGTGATAAGCAAACATCAGCCTTGCAAATCCCGTGTGCTGTAACATTAAAAAAAGAGAGACAGTAAATGAGTAAATGATAGGGCGGGACTTCACTGAAAGGCCATATCTAATTATACCTATTAAATGAGCAGCCCACCAAGCTTCCCTTTTAGCGGATGGAAATGCTTTGAGACACGTTTGGGTTCAGAAAGTTTGCCGCGTGCTATCGCTGGCAATAAATCATTTGTGCTATGCAAACTATGTAATCTATTGTAAATCGCAACCAAGCTGTAGCAATAATGTTATCCATGTAAACCCTCTCCCTTTGGGGTCTCCTTTTTGTGCTGGTTTGCTCGGCCTCTAAGACGCTGGGGTTCAGATCCAGGACTGGAGTGCTGAGATGCTGCCACAAAACAAACAGCACATTATGTCAGGGCACCTACGCACAAACCCAGGGTAACGAATGGGCGTGCAGTGCAGACAGACCATCTGTTGCCTGGCTTCAAGTTTCCATCCACACCTTTTCCCAGCCTGCTTGAATTTAGCAATTGTATCCATAATCCTGACTCAGTCCGTGCCCCCTAGAACAACTGGCTGCCTTAAATGATTGGCAGTGAAACAGTTTGCAATCTTGCCGTTCCTGTTGCTGTTGGGAGCCCCATTGTCCACACCCCACGGGGATGCCTGTAGAGCATTTACATCCTTGAGTGCGACTTGTCTAAGCCATGCACTAAGCAACACACAGATAGCATTGCAGCAAACTGAGGCATAGTGGAGAGGTTACCTTTGCAACCAGAAGGGCTAGAAGCTTACTGGAAACATTTTTTTCCCTAATCAAGAAGTTGCCAGAGCCATCAGGTTATTGCTGGCTTGTTATATCAACCAGCTGCTGCTCAATCAGCCTCCTGTTCCTACCACTTGATCCATTTATTCTGGGACTCTCAAAGCCACTTTGAAATTTAGTGGGATTTGATCACTTCATTCCATACAACTGAGGCACCCTTCTTGGTATTCAGGTCCAGCTCCCTGCAATCACAACCCGATCATATAACCCCGCTCACAACGCTCCTGTTGAAAGGTTGTTCCAGAAGCTCATGCTGTGACGGGTACAAACCTCCTTCTAATTCACAGTCTAAATGTATCCCCTGGGGCCCTGAAAGAGATTCCAGCCTTCCTAGGTATCGCAATGACAAGCAGAACAAGTCGGATAAAACTGGGATTTCCTATTGGCCAATAAGTATTTTTTATGAGACAACTTCCTGCAGCTAATTCAGTGCTTGTCGATGCTCCATTCTTATATGATATGACTATAACAAAGAAGTGCTCAGCATACCAGGGCACACATTGTATTTCATTTGACAAGTGCCAGAAGCCAAATCCTTTGTCCCAAGGGTAGTCCGTGGCCACCACTTGTAAGTCAACACCGGACAACTGAAAATATATGTCATAGCTCAAGCCATGGGAAGTCACAGGAGGTGTTAACAGCCATCCTAGTGGTCTCTTCTGCCCTTAAAAATCTATGAAACTCAGCGCCTTCTTCACACTGCCTTACCCATCTCACCATGCCCACATGCTGCATGTGCTTACATGGAAAGGCAGTACCAAGAAAGCACTTTAAGTGTGCTCTTAAGTCCTCTCTTCCTCCCATATCCCTGTGACTCCTGGCAAACCCAGGTAGGCTGAGTCCTCATTTCTGGCTGCTTTCCCAGGCATCCCAACTCCTTTTTTGCACTGACAATCCAGGGCATCTGTAGAAGCAGCTGGCACCAAGGACAATAAAGCACCTGACGTGGCACCTCTCAGTGGAGCATCCACAAGCATCTGGAACGATCGTGGTCTGAGACCCACGCTGCTTTTGTTTGGGGGGGTGCTGTCACCATTTTATAGCCCCACACAGCACGTGCTGTTGGGTGTTTTCCCGAAAGCTGCAGTGGCCGGAGCTGCGTCACGACGTGAAGATCTCAGCTTTTACAGTTTCCAAAAAGCTCTCACAAAATGTTATAGCTTTCACAGTGTTAAAGAAAAGCTTGAAATGAACACTTAAAGGTTCAAAACTCAGGCAAACTAAAAAAACCAAACCACCCCAATATTTATCATCTGCAAAAAAATCGCATGAGTTTAAGCCAAGCTCATGTTTGTTCAAGGCCTGTCTCAGTGCTTCTGGTTGGCCCCCCTACCTAATGAATAAAGGGTATTCATATCTGTGCAGCCCTTAAATATGGCATTTGCCTCTACAAACCAAATCAGCATTTACTGCACTGCAGTAGTTGGATTTATGGGGATATTTCCTCTAGGCCAGTTCAAGCAGAAACCATTGCAACTACTGCAGTAAATTCATTAAATACATGTAAATACTACTGCAGATATGGTGGGGTATGAGCAGAGAAGCCAATAAATAAAAGGAGAACTTGGGCACTTTGCTGTGGATCTGTCCTGCTTTTTCAGCATTGACAGAAGAAATAAAATCCGTACGTGAACATTTATCCGTATGTATTTGTAGACAGGCAATGTAAAGGGTGGGAAGTAGTGGATTTCAGTGTCCTGATTGGCCATTTGGAGTATTATTATTAGTACTGCTGCTTGTACCCATATTATATACTACTACGACTGCATTAAAGACAGGCACTTCAAGATCCACGCTTGTTGGCATACAGAGGGGGTGTCTCAAACAGCACCTGGTTGGCTTTGCCATTGCCAGCTGGGATCTCCCCTTTTTCTTTGGTGACAGGCTCAGCATCAATCTGCAATAGGCCAGACCTTGCTTCACGGCCCAGTTCCCTCGGCCACCATGCAGCTGGGAGCCCAGCCGTGGAGGGATTTGGTCCTGGTCCAGGAACTGGGGGGAGCATTGGCCCATCCTTTGCCTTGCTTGTGCTTCAGGCCGGTTGCCTGCTGTCCTGTGGCACACTGGCACGGATCTCAACGCACGCGTCTGTCTCTGTTTCAGATGAGAGGACCTGGACATTTCTAGACGGGTCAGACAACTCCAGCCACGTACCTCCCCAAGGGCAAGGGAGAGTGAAGGAGCTGACGGCTCACTATCTGTCTCGGACAGCTGCCCCTGCTGCTCACAGAGGCCTCGCACAGCCTGTAAGTAGCTCATGCTTTGCATTCCTCGCCTGCCTATGAGTCACCAAAAACATCCAAGCAATGTCCTCTCGGCAAAGGGCTGCAGCAGGGGCAGAGGGAATGTGTGAGTTTGATGGGAATATGGAGGAAGATGGGATCAACCCTCCTACAAATCACCCAGTTTCTCTTGCCAAAGAGCAGCCAAGCCAATTAATTCCTCATATACATGTGTGTAAATCCACTTACATATTATATATACATGCACCCCAAGATTATATAGGTATGTATAGCATACATATACACAGTCCTGCGCTTGTGCACACACACACAAGCTGTATATTCATATATACTACATATGCACATGCACTTCATTCTAGATTGGGGGGACGGTTCTTTTTTTAAGTCCAGCATCTGCAGTTCCCTTGCATTTTCACCTGCACATCATATATCTGTCTCTGGTCCATGAACAATTGTGCCCTCTTGCTGCATACAATGAAGTTACTGCCATGCTCCACCCCAGATGTGACCGCCTTTCAGTGTCAAACAAGGTGCCACCCTGCCCTGCTTTTTGCCTAGCCCAGAAAGAGTGATCCTTGGACCCTGTTGTCTGATGCCGCTCGGTTTAATCCATAGCGAAACTCCAGCAGACCTCAAAGGAGGCGGGAGCTCAAGGCAGCATCATATAAATATGGTTGATTGTGCTGGGCACTGAAGCTTGTAAAAGGTGGCAACCGAAGGTCAGATCCTAAGAGTGTCTGTGACATTTAATGGGACTCTTTTTCCATCAAATCTTTATCAAGACATGATCAAGCGATACAGCGAGGCCTGGGAGCACTGTACAGTGAGCACAGCAGCGCACAAACCCTTGCCCTCCATAACAGCAGGGCGAGGGGAACCTACACATGCAGACAAGCAGGGTTTGATCTCAGGTGGAGGCCTCTGAAGCCCTCGGCTTGTCCAGTCCCTTTCTCATAAGCATTCAAGACAACAAATAGGGCCACGCTGTGGGTAAAAAGATGAGTGTGTCAAAGACAATAATGGCTGGAGTGGTGGTCTCTTAATACTAACAAGGCATTTAACTCCCTGTTCTGCTCCTGGGCCTCACTCCTGCTACTACCCTGGCATATCGTGGTGACTTCACCCGGTCACCTCAATAAAGCATGTTCAGGCTCCCCCGAAGCTCTGTACTTGCATACGGGATATCACGCCTGTCCAGCAAATGAGCTAGGAAACTTCCAAAAATGTTTCACATATTAGACACTCCTTTTTTGTTTGTAATGCCAGCATTTGGACTTTTCAATCACACAGCACCATTTTAAAATGTATTCCTAGTTTGTGTTTTTAACAATAAAACCCCTCAAAACATCCTATTGCCGGGGGGGGGGGGGGGGGGGAGTTTTT